GTGTGTGTGTGTGTGTGTGTGGTCAGTGATCTCACGGGCAGAGTTTGTTTGCGCATCGACACCTGCTCTTGTGCGCCAGTGTGAGGTCAGGAGGCAAATTTTATGCGCCTAATGTCTTCTGAAGTGATCCGTTCCTCCTCTGAGCCTCCCATGAGAGGGATGGAGGCTCTGACGTGCCAGCATGCAGGCACACCAGCACCATCCACTGAATAACAGCCCCATTCCTCTTCCTCCCCGCTCCTTTCTGATAAGTTCCAGTGACTGCTGCCCAATCCCTCATGTCCGCAACTAATGCACCCTGACAGATGGATGTGGGTTATGTACGCCTATGCCTAGCAGCTTCATCTTGAGAAAACAAATAAGGATGGATTTAGAAAGAAGGTGGGGAAAAAGAGCAGGGCAGTCCTTGTAAGACATCTTGTGAAATTCCGGGAGATAAGAGGTGAAAAATGGAGTGCGAGTGAGTGAAAAGTTTGCTGAAGTACGGACAGCTGAATCTCTCATGCGGTCGAGCTCATGCTGCCTTCTAGTGGTGCACTATTGTTCTCCTGCACGACTCCTGTCCAAAGCCACATACACTGTGCATTGGATTTGCATTGCAGCATAATGTGGATAACTCAGTTTGGGAAAATTGCAGGGAAGAGTGTTCCTACATTTACAGATCCAACTAAACGTGCCGGAAATCATTTCCAGCAGCAGTGAAAGAAATATTGTAAGAGTCCAGCTAAAAGGAAAACAAAGGAAAAGGAAACAGCTTATTAGTTTGCTGCCCAAAGCATTAGTACAGCCTGCAAGGATGATAAAACATCATCAAACAATAAACATGCTTCAAAATAAGAAGGAAAATGGAAATTGATTATTATGATAAAGTTATTAAAGCAGTCTAAATAAAACTCCAAATCAGTGAGGCTAAATGGAACATTAGGACTGCAAGTCTGGAAAAAGCAGGTTTAACTCAGTGATGTCCACATTTACCGTCAAATACACCCAGCACGCTGAAGATGGAAGGAAACAAAACTTACTTCTCATAAATATCACTTTCTCACAAGTCTGAACTTGCGCCTGTGGTGGGAGCTAAAGATTAGCGCCAAGGCAGGGAGGCCTTGCAGCCTCCAAAGCTTTGAATTTTATTGCATGGATGAACGGTCGGCAGTTAAAGTGGAAACATATAAACACCATGCAACAATTTCAAGATGCATTTTTGTATACGTGTAAAAACTAAGGTGATGCAAATTGTATATTGGGCTTTTTTTTTTTTTTTTTGGAAGATGCCTGTATCATTTTTGACCAAACCTCCTAACCTAATTGGATAAAAATGACTTTAGATCTTAATCAAATATTACCATTAAATGACAATATTTTTGTACTACAAATAATGATATAGAAATTAAAATTTAATCAAGACAAAAGTCATTATATTGGTAAATAAATGAGTTGGTTAAACTGGAACCCCTGTTATCGAGTGATGGCTTCAGAGCGTGATCAAAGTCTATCCAGGGTTGATTTGTGCCTGGAAGATCTGCAAAGTCAAGAAAGGAATCTCTCTCTCACATAGAGAAAGAGGAAGTTAATTATACACTAAATCTTAAGAAGCAGCAAGCTGCCTCAGAATCTATGTGGACTGGATGACTTTAAACATTCCCACATGCCTCCTTTCTCACTCGCTTTGTTAAAGAATGAAAAGGAACATGTTCTTTAGAAAACTGTTCTTTATATTTCATTGTAGCACACTTTGAGACAATAAAAATAGAAAACAATAATAACCTTTGTTCTACATAAATCCCATTGAATAACTTCCGCTGCTAAAAAAAAAGAAATAAAATTAAAAAAAAAAAAAATAAGGATAAGAGAGACTTCCACCGTGAAAGAAAGTAGTCCTTTTAAAGTCACAAGAGCAAATCTGTTTTCCTTTTCCAAAATTCAGGATTAGCAGGGGAGAGATTCTCAATTCTCCCGGTGAAGGCCATGTACGGACATGGGGAAAGGGATCAGTCGTTTTTCTCCCTCTTCTCTCGACGGGCCCTTCGCTTCAGCTGAAGCGTCTTGAGTTCAGTCATGGTGGAAAAGGTCCTGTAAACCCACACCATCTGTCGGCGAGGAAGAAGAAGAAGAAGAAACGACTTGACACGTGATCTGAGGTTTAATCTTTCTGAGAACATTTCTAACATATTTGTTTTGATGTGACAAGTTGATGGAGAATAAAGTTGAAAACTTGCCACGATGATGACTGCATTGAGAAGGAGAGGAATTGAGTAAACCAGTGATATGAACATTCCCTTGGAGTCAAAATACTGGAAATTAGAAAAAGACCTGAGAGAAGAGCAAAAGAAAAACTTTACATAAACAATTTTTTGTAGACATTTTTTTTTTTCAATTAATAGATACCCAAATGCACAAAAATATTAGGTCTTACCTCCAGTTCATCGCTGCCAGCTCATTCAGATATTCAGCACTATAAACCAGGCCAACTGTGGAGAGATCTTGCATTAACTAATTTATTAAAACATAAACAAATGATGGCACTTAATGATATCACTAACACAACATCGTCACATCTCTTCACTTTCCTGTCCTCAAAATTAGCTCTAGTTTGACGGCTCCAAATATCTCAGGTTATTTGACAATTAACTGTCACGACTTAAAGTCAGTAAACACGACAGAGATGCAAGCAAGATATGGAAGGGTTAAAAAAGTTTACGATAAACACAACTGAAGTATTTTACAATGTGTGTGGTGTACTTTTATATTGATATTAACTAGTCTTCACCATTTTTCCACATTAAAACTTTCTTAGTGATTGAAAACAAGTAAATACACTTAATGATAACACATCAGTAAATATGTAAATCAATACAGCAATATTATTTTTCTAATTTAACACATAATGTTTTAAACATATACATTGCAATTTTTATTGATCATATATTTAAAAAAACATGATGTATTTAAATAGTTTCTGTGCCACAGTTCATAATGAATTTGCCATTAACATTATGTTTGCCCTTTATTTTTTCTTTTTTTGTCTTCGTAGAATCTACACCTGGCTCAGTGTTTCGGTGAAGCTGCGACACCTTCCTGCAGGAGGCCATCAGCCGAGCGGTTGCTGCCAAACACTTCATGTTCGCTTTCTAAATCCGATACATTTGGCCCTGCTTTCCTGTTTTTAACTCAGTCTCTCGCCTAGACGCATGAACTAAACACATGTTATACGATTCTCATGCCATAAATTACCATGCTGGCTCACAGGGCATACCAGGGGGATTCAACTCCATTCCTAAAAGGCCCGTGTTCTGCACCTTTCAGATGATTTCCTGGACGTGAACCAAATGGCTGGATTAACTCCTCGGTATGCAGTCAGGTTCTCCAGAGTGTTGCTGATGACCTGATTATTTGACTCAGGTGTGTTGAAGCAGAGACACATCTAAAAGTTGCAGAAAACTGGCCCATGACGACCCCAAGCTCCTGCATCTGTGCTTTTGCTATGGAATTACTGCAAAGTTAATGACTAAATGCAATTCAAACTATCGGCACATGCACGTTCAGGAGAAGGGATTTCTATGTAGGCAGTCGCTCCATTCGTTTTTTTTTTTAGACGGAGAAGTTTTAAAATTTTCTAGTGTATGTGTTGCATTAAAATAAGCAATCTCTGGTTGAAAAGTCTTGATTTTACAACTGCTTGCTTGGCAGCAAAAACACTATTTTTATCGTACTATTCTAACTACTTATAATGATGGGTAAAGCTTCATGCTGTGTGTCAGCATTGGACAATGACAAATAGTCAATTTTTTTTTTCCGTTTTTATCCAACATTTTCCTATTTTGACATATTCACTTAAAATTAAGTTTTATTAAAATTGTGGCATTGTTCAGCTGCTGACGGATTACTCGTATATAATCTTGTACAGTTAATGTTTTGTCTTCCAATGATCTGATCACATCCTATATTTATAAGGTTGTAGGCCAGTAGAAGGGATAGCTAAAACAATATGGATTCTTCAGAGTTGTAAATAATGTTCTCATGTGGAGCTGCTATGGCGCCTCCTGTTTACTTTTCCTGAGTATTCTTCGAAGCCAATAACTTGCTCATTTCCAGCATTTTGTTACTTTTGTATTTAATCTATCAGCCATTACTCTATTAAGGACATAGGCTTTTTCTGCTTCAGATGACACAAATGTACAATCGGTAGTTTTCCCAGAAACTGATCTAGATACTGATGGGACGTTGCAGAACACGTACCTATGACCAGGAAGTGGCAGATCTGAGCTCTGTAAAACTTGCAGGTTACTACAGTCAGGAACAAACACAGAACATGAAATGCTATGAGCCCAATTAGCCATGGTTCAGACCACTGCACCTGTAAACACACAAAATGTGCATTGTAATAAGTCATTGTTTTTAGTCAGGCAGAGATGGCTAACACCTCGATTAGCTAGTTAGTCAAGCCATTTTGGCAAAAGAAAATTAAAACGTACCGACATTAGAAACGTCCATATCGACGTTATTCTTAAATTACTGAATCCGTCGATGGGTATGGAGCTAATATTCTCTGGTTTTTGTTCTGTCATCTTTAAAAACGACAAAGCTAACCGTATAGCTTAGCTAAAGGTAAAAGAAAACGGAAATGCGAATGAAGCGGATGAGGTCACAGCCAGACAGCCAATCGGCTTCCTTCAAAGTGTAAACGTGAATACGTCTTCAAAAGTGTCTTTTTTTTGTCTTAATTATGTTTCACAAAAGTTCTTAAAATGTTTAAACAGTGAAAATCAGAAAAATATATTGTTACACAGCTGCAAAATGATTAAATAGGTAGAATAATAAAAGACAAAAGTTAAGCAAAATATTTTTAAATCAGTTTTAATATACAATGTATAGTGCAGCTAAGCACCACGTACGACCAAGAGACAGGTTTGTCTTTTACTACACAAAATCTGACAGTCTTAAAATCTATATTAACAAAAGATACATTTTCAACATGTAACATAAAAACACATTTAGTTTAGAGTGCACAATAAAAAATATTTTCTTTCCTTCCATCAGCTGATAGTAATGGCTCTGGAGCTGGGCTCCCTTTTTCTAAAGCAAACCACAGTTGTCACTACAGAGCACAATAAAAGTTTCTGACATCATTCATAGAACCTCATCCTTCAGACATGATCGCTGATGTAATACCTCTCAGACTTTGAATTTATAACTCCTACCACTTATCTCGCCACTGTTTCACTGTCCTTGTGCATGTCATTAAAGGTAGATATGCTTCTAATCACTTTCATGCATGTCCTGCTCCTCTTTGCCACAACTGGCTTCAGAGCTCCTCAACTATAAAAATACAGGACTTCTTCTTCTTCTTCTTCTCTGCACTTCTTCATCAACTTTGCTAAACTTCACATCTTCTACGAGATTTCCCAGCATGTGAACATATTGCACCCTCTAGACCAGTGTTTCTCAACCCTGGTCCTCAGCGCCCCCCTGTCCTGCATGCTTTAGGTATTTCCCTTCTGC